CCGTTTCTGCTCCGTGACAGCTCGTACTTTCCTTTTTCTCCCTCCCTCGCTCACAGACACATAACGGGTATGGCCGTCCATTCTCCCTGCAGCAGGACTACACTGCCCATCAGGCTACGTTCTTTAGAGCAGCGGTCCCCAACCCCCGGGCCTCGGACCGGTACTGGTCCGTGAGTTGTTTGGTACCGGGCCGCGAGAGTTGAGGCTCAGGTGTGAAATGTCTGGTTTTCAGGGTTTTTATCGGTTTTCAGCGTTATTTTATTATCGTTTTTATCATTTACTCGGTTTTCCTTGGTTTTTTCATCTGTGTTATGAATAAATCTTCTTTTTTTCGGTACCGGTACTGGTTTTATTTTGTTGTATTTATCTGCGACACCTTAAAGGCCGGTCCGTGAAAATATTGTCGGGCATAAACCGGTCCATGGCGCAAAAAAGGTTGGGGACCGCTGCTTTAGAGCGATGCCTGTAACACTCTACCTGTTGCCTTCATATTAAATATTTTTTGAATAATTTTTTTAAATATTTCCTCACCCACGGGCCGCAAGTAGGGGTGACATGGGCCACTTTAGAGCCTCTTAATGCGTGTTTTGTTTGGGTTTCCACCGGCTTGGAATTACCAAAAATAGAGCGGGCATAGCTGAACATATGAAACAGGAAAGTACCGCCGTGTAATCCATTTATTTCAACAAAGTAACTATTCTGAATACCACCTTTTTAAACTGTAACTGTAACGGAATACAGTTACTCATATTTTGTATTTTAAATATGTAACGCTGGTACATGTATTCCATTACTCCCCAACACGGCACACAGTACATCCAGGGAGTGACATTTGTGCTTTAATATCTGCTGTAAAACATCTCCAGGGAGAGAAATCCTTTGATTTCACTTCAGCTGTAATTACGTCTACAACAGGTTTTCAGTTTTTTCCTGTAAGCTAAACCAAAATACTTTCCCTTCAATATTATCGAAGACGTTATTGGATCAAATCTGTTCCCAGTGATTGTTTTTACTCTCCAAGCTGCGTGGAAGGTCACCTCGTCCTTCAGAGCCCATCAAAGCCTCCCCTTCAAAGCAGCAACAGCATCTCACCTCCACACAGCTGGATGAACAGAGGCTCAGGTGTGCATGCGTCTGCCTGTCACGTGTTTGTGACACTATCGAGAGGGACACACGAAGCCCGCAATTAGGTCGTGGCACAGTCTCTCGCTCCAGATTCATGGGTTAGAAAGGATCTCGCCTGAAACAGAATCAAAACGAAGCTGCTTCCTAATCGGAGGCGAGCGGCAGCTGCAGCCTGAGAAGACGAACATCATAACATCATGTTTTTGTTCCTGTTGCATTCAGATGAAGCACATCAATCAGCAGCTCCTTGTTTGTGTGAGGCCAAAAAAGAGATCCAAGCATCTCTGAGCTTTCAGTGCCACGCATTTAATTCCTCTTAAGAAAGGGCTGCAAAACTTTGTAGTTTCATCGTGGGCTGAAAGTGCACACGCAGAGGAAGAATGGTTTGTGAAGAGGACAGACGGTGATTATTTTTAGATGCTTGGAAAACTGGTTTCTCATCTCATGTTTTTGTATAAGTGCGAGCCATAAATCATGTGAGCTGCTTTTTAAAGGTTTAGTGCACTGCAGCTCTAGAGTACTCATAATTAGCTTATCCGGCAAAGCTATGAGCTCCTCTGTAATGTAATCTTCCTTAGTGACGCAGAGGATGGAGTGAACTGATGTAATGGCGATGGAGCCGTTATTGAGACATCGCGGAATTCAAGCCATTCGCAGACTAAAGGACTCTGCCATGTTACAACTTTGGACGCAGAGCTACGGTTCGGGTCAGGCTTGAAAGGGAATCTCACACAGTGCTGTCAAGTGATTGTCGTGGCTTTTTAAAAACCGCAGCTTGTTATCAGATCAATTGTTTTTTCCCACAATCTGAAATGAACGATGTGACAAACATTCGACTTTTTACCAACACAGAGGATCGTGATTGTGACAAACAGAAACAATTCTCCTCATTCCCAGATCTGCGCTCCACAGGCAGCTTTGCATGATTCACAGTTCAAAATAAGTTCGTTATTCAGTTTATTATGTTCGTAAAACAAGCTCCTTTGGCTCATCCCATTTAAGCCAACTGTCACCTGACTGGCTGTCCCACAGCAGGTGGGCGGGGCATCTGTGTCTGATGTCAGGATATCAGGTCTCTATGATATCACACAGACCCAGGAGTAAAAAAAGTCAAGTCACAGCACGTTTATGTATGTTTCATACACTGACCTCGTTATTTGAAACTTAAATATGAGCACCATCGTAACAATATAAACATGGCAGCACAAAAGAAACAAAGAAGTCTCTCACAATTTTTATCCTATCAAAAAAAGAAATCAACAAAAAAAAAAATTCAGAGGACCAAGTACGGCACCTTGAGGGACACCTCTTCTTTGAGTTATGTCGTTTTTCTTATAACAGTATTGGGTCAGTACCATTCAGTTTGGAACAATTACAGCACCAACAGTCGGCCTTTTCTAAGATGATTAACCACTGTCTGCACTAACACTGAAAATTGTAAATAAATATAAAGATAAATAAAGATGTAAATCTTAAAATCTGTAAATAAAAATCAAAATACGTGTGAAATATCAAGCAGGCTTCTTTTCAAAACAAAGAAATATTACATAAATACTGAAGCCATTTTGTAATCATTATTTCGTCATCAGATACAGGGTACCTTTTTTCTGTGAGCTAAAGTCATTTTTTGGGTGGATTTAAAAACATCAAATAAAATGTGTTTTTGTTTGGGGGGGGGGGGGGGGGGTAAAAATTCTCAAAAAGCTCATAATCTCATACTCTCTTCTGTTCCTCTTTGTCAATTTCCATCCAGTGTGGTGCTTCGCCTTCTATCTTCCCTGTCTCCAGCTCCAGATGTAGAAGCTGACTCTTAACCTTTAACTAACCCACCGGCCCACAACCAACCCGTCCATCCCGCTGACAGACGTTGTGTAACCTTAGTACTTTGCCCAGATTGCTTTCCTGCAGCTCTGACATGTGTTCACCTTTGGGCGGATGAAGCCGTGTTAACGCGTCCACGTGCAGCAGTGTTCTGAGTGGCTGAGTGTGAGTTAAAGAGCAGCTGGCTGATGGAGATAAGAGCTCAGTAAATCTCACTCTCAATGCTTTGTAGAGGTTTCTGAAGAAATTCATCAAAGAACACTCTTGGTTAGGCATGCTTTGTTTTTATAGTCAATACTGATTTCAATTGCATACTGTTATGTTTATATATATGAATCGATGGCTTTACATTTAGAAACATTTTCAGACGCCTGCAGGTTTCATGAGACTGGCAGTAATTGAAATGTGATGGATAGCGAGGTTCAGGCTGTTTTCGCACATCAGTGGAAGGTGTTTCTCGTGCTTTAAATAAATAAATGTCGGTAACCGGATTCCTGTGAAGGTAAGAAAGTGAGTCGTGATATCTGAAAGGATCCAGAAGGAGCAGAGGGAGCTGGTTCGAGTCAAAGGATGATGGTTTTCACCTGAGTGCTCCACTTCAAAAACCCCTCAAATCACACACCTGCACGCAGCGTGATGCTGGCAGGCTGAGCTGTCTTAGAGTGCGTGTACAAAAGCATGAATGATGGACTCCATCAGCAAAACAGGGGACGGTGATAGTCCATTTCTCTCTCTGTGGGCAGAATCTACACATACGTGTATCATAGGGCTAAACACGTTTTTGTTTTGGAGGGCAAAAACGGTACAAAGGTTCATATTTAAAATTGGGTAGAATGTAAATTTTAGTCTTAGGTTTGAATGATTAACTGTTTAACTGCAAAACATAGAAACGTGCTGGTTTGTCCATCGCTGGCTCGATGCTTCATCGAGTGACAGCAAGGTTCTGAGTTTGAACCTTCCTGAGGTCTTTGTTCTTTGTGCACCTCGTACCTGACATGTTAGGTTACCTGGTGACTCTAAATTGGCAGAAGGTGCAGATGCTAGCAAACATGGCAGACGCCATGAGGTTATCCCCCTCGTCATGTTTCAACAGCAAAAACTGCACAAAAGATGGACAGATGTTGTTGTTTCAACAGTAACCAGTCAGACCGTTGGTTACTGGGCAAACACACGTCTTTGTTCGATGTGATACAAGATTTGATTGACAACTTATCTGGTTAGAAGATGATTTGGACACAACATTCACTCCACCCACACAGACTAACGGTACCGAGCCTGCCGTGTTTGTGCGAGCAACATTTATCTTTGTGTGAATTCTGTCTCATTATGTGCTGCATGCAAAAGGCAAGACATCAGTTCTAGTTTGATGTGGCTCATCTTTTCCTGAGCTTTTGATGTTTGGTTTGCTTTTTGTTCCGAGTCCTTAATAGAACCACCCAAAACAATTCCTCTAACTAAAAATTCCCAGAAGGACAGAAAAGCTATGTCTTGAACACAACTTTGATCTTTGTCCTGGGACCCTTGCACCTTAAAACCAAACAAAAGGATCAAGTCCACTTTTAAACCTGGTTTCCATGCAAATAAAAAAACAAGCTTCAACTTCAGAGAGCAGGCAGCTCTGCAGGAGCTCATCACTGTTACTGATCTTTGCCAGTTAATCGATCATTTAATTGTTTACGTTATCCTCGCTGACTCCAGCCTGTTTGTAGCTTCGGTCTGTTTATCGACATAAAACTGGACGACATCCGTTTCACAACGATTAACCAAACATAATGGGTATGTTAATAAATAATGAAAAGCAGTCATTAATGGACGCTCCACTCTGTGAACACAGGCACACATTGTTCCTGACTTTTAAGATACACACCAGATGCTGCGTCGGTATGCGTGAGTGCGTTTGCGCTCGGCATTTTAAAGCCGCCACATGGCCTCATCTCATTTCAAATTTTGAACAGCTGGGCGTTTGGCTCCACGGTGGAACAACAAACAGTCGGACGCACACAGAGAACAGAAAACACCTCAACAGAAACCATCGAGGCGAAGTCACCACTCACCTTCAAGTGCCAGGAGGACCAGAGGCAGCAGCAGCAGCAGCTCCATCACCGCGGACATCCTGACGGAGGACAGAGGGGTGGTGGCGTCTCTCAACAGTGCACACACAGACACACACACATACACAGACAGGACAGATCTGGAAACCCTCAGAGCATAAACACACCAAAGACGTCCCAACTGTGACTAAAAGTCGCCTCCTGTTTATCTGAGGGGTGGGCGGTGTGGGTGGGTCCTCCTCTTGCTCTGCTCCTTGTTCAACAACAGGAAAAAGCTCACATCAGCAGCAGTTTGTTCGTGCGCCTCTCAGTGTTTGAGCATCTAGAGTTACCAGAGGGAAGAATCAGACCAGGTCTCAGGTTTCGGCCTCTTTGTTCAACTATTTATATTCCGTGGCACACCCTCAGGTCTCCTTATTGACACTGCACGCACCACACAATGTAAGAGCCAATGGAAGCCCGGCGTTTGAAGCTCAGCTGGTGGGGGATGATGGAAACAGTGCTGGAAATGGAAGAAGTTTGTGAGAGCTGGTGATGACTGCGCAGCTCGAGAGCCAGTCAAAATGTTGCATTCATGAATCCACAAGAAACACCGAGCCGACTTTGTCCTCGTGGGCAACCTGAGTTTAAAAACGGAGGAGCGGAGCTCGGCTGGGCCAAATGGAAGCAGTGGGAAGCGTGCGCCTCTCTTTGGCTTTGGAAGACTCAGTATTGCGTCTCTCAGAGTTATTACTGTCTGCAGAACCTTTCGGGGAAGACTCTTGTGTTTTCCCTCTTATGAAATCACCCGCTGTGCGCGCACATATGCGTGGTTTGGCTGCTGTCTGCGCATGAGCTGCACAGGTGGCACGCACCGGGCGGTGATCCCGCGCGTCTCTGGGAAAAGTGCGCGATTCCCGCTGTGCGTTCCAGCAGTGCAGCCGTCTTTAAACTCACCTCCGGTCTCACAGCGCGAATCTGTCGAACCCAAACCGTCAGCGCCCTCCTGGCCGTCTGTTCTCCCTGTGAAACAAACGTAGTCCCGTTTACCTGTAAAAAGAATCCTCCTCTGGAGGAGAAATCCTGCGCTCCGTCCTGAGTTCCTCGAAGCGCCTCCTTCTACTGACAGGTTAGAGATGGTCTCTCTCCCACATCGGAGAGATTTCACGATCGCACAAGGGGAGAAAATCTTCTTTTCGACCTTTAAGAACGAGCAGAGCTTCACATTCCTGAGTGAGGACACACAAACACACACACAGAGCTCCAGAAATTACGTGTCAGCGCAAGGATGCCGCGCTAAGCAGTCTTTGGGATGGGTGAAGGCTGGGGGGGAGGTGCATGGAGGAGGAGGAGGAGGAGGGTATTATGCATTGCAGCAGCAGAGGGATGGAGAACGAAGAGGAGGAGGGAGAGGTATAGAGCCGTTGTTATGGCAACAGTGGTTTTATGCGATGGTTTCTTCCCTTCCAGAAACCCCCACGTGCTGGCAGGAGAGTCAGGTCTGAGTAACGGAGCGGTGTCACGTGGCGCCTGGATTTAGACTGAGCCATTAACGGGGTGGGAGGTACAAAATAAAAGATTTATGCCTAAAATACTGACTTCACGACATGTGATTAGACGTCATTTTCCCCCAGAACTAAAGTGTAAAACGTTCATTTTAATGGAGAAAAGTGAATAAGAGACATATTAGAAATGAATAGTGTGTACAAAAGAGTGATTGTACTGAGGAAAATGGTTACTATATATGACTCCATCATATAAAGTGTGGGAGTAAAAATTATACCTCCTGTGTGCATAATGCTCAGCCTGACTGCTGCTGGGATGGAGGAGCTGAGCAGGAGCGGCTCAGGACCTCCACGGTCCCATCCAGGGGGTGAGAGGTGCTGTCCGTAATGGACATTAGCTTGGCTAACATCCTCCTCTGTCCAGGACAGAGCTGACCCTCATTAACTATAAGCCACTTCCTGCTCCTCCGTGGCAGACAGCCACATAAAAGCCTACAGAAACCACCACAGCGCTCCTCAGTAATGTCCTGCACACCTGAAAACACCTCAGCCTGCCAGCAGATGGAGCCGACTTTTTGATGGAGCTCAATGTTTTCAGTGTACGATGAAAATGAAACAGAAAACGCAAACATTTCAGCCAGGATTAACCTCAGACAGTCTTGTCCCTGCCAGGGGGGCTTCTGCAATAAACAACACTGGATCTCTTTTCTCTTATCCTGTACCTGCAGTGACAGCTGCATCGTTAACGTGAGGCTTACGTGGAATCAGTCTAAATGCAGCTGATGTCATTATTCAGAGTCTGGATTCAACCGTCTCCTTCAGTTCCGGTCTTGGCTGGAAAAATAGTTCCAAAATAAAAGTGTCAGAGATTGTACCTCATTGTCTGCTCACACCTGGAAGGAGAACTTTGTGGTTTTTATAATCCCTTCATCAAATAAAACAACATAAAGGATGACTAAACTGTGACTGTAATGGGCAAGCGAGTGCATCAAGTAATAATTCACAATTTACAAATGTGTTTATACTCTTAAAAAAACAAACAAAAACAAACATCTGTCAACTAAATTGGTTAAAATTCAAATGTAATCGATTACAAAAGAAGAAGGAAGCATTTCCTTCTTTACTGAAATAATCGGAATAATATTTCTTATTTTGTAAGACATGTGTCGACTGAAGGTTTCTACTGGGAGAGTGCAAATGATTGAAATACACTTATCGGTCACTTCATTAGGTACACCTGTTTAGCTCCTCTGCAGTGTAAACAAGCAGCCGATTACATGTCATTGACTCGCTGCATGTAGACATGGCCAAGGCGACAGAAAGGTGACTGCTGATCTGCTGGGATTGCCCAAAACAAGAGAGTGAGTGGCAGTTCTCTGGGAGAAGAGGTGTTGTTGTGGTCAGAGGAGAATAGACAGACTGCTGCAGGAATAAGTCACATATCCGCTCATTACAACCAAACTGTGCAAAAGTCTCTGAACCTTGAAGCAGATGGGCTTGTGACAGTTTTAGCAGGGCCTGAATGGGTACCCTGTACGTCCTGCCCTGAGGGTCACCTTTTCTGGGACAGCTGGCTGTACTCAGCAAATACCCAGAGAGTACTTCAGGCCAGCTGTAGTGCCAGCTGTGCTGTGTGTGGCGGCTTCTTTCTGCTGGTCTGTGGAGAGGAGAGCGTGTGTTTTGGTGATTTAACATTTTTAGCCTCCTTTTCTGTTTCATGAACAACTCGTTGATTTTCTTATTTTTCCTCTCTTTTATAGGAGACAGCGGTTTGTCCATCACTTTCAGTTTATTAATTAAACTACTTTGCCTTCATGTCTCCTTTTTTCAACCCGGACACTACTTGTTACTTTCCCCACGTCCTCTTGACCTTTTAGGGGAACATAAAAGGGTCACAGCAGCAGACGACCAGACAGAGTGTCAGCTAAGAACATGCCTGCAGGGAAACGCAAGACTGTAAGATTCATAAATTCAAAGAAAAAAATAAAATGAAACAGAAAGAGGCTGACTCGTGTGACTGAATGGGCACAGAAAGGAAATATTTAGTCATCATAAGTCTCCAAATGTTGAAGCAAACAGCAGGCGAGGTCCTTGTTTGTCATTCATAGCTCAGAAGTGACAACCACATGGAAAGTTTCCAGCTCACTCACATTTGTACGGCTAACTTCTCAATCTGTCATTTTAGGTGGCAGCAGTGAGGTTTCACAGCTGCTTTTATTAACCACAAGTCCCCATTTTAGTCATTAATGGTGCATAAACACACACACACACACAATGATGGCCGCTGAGAAAAATCAATCCAAGCTGCGTGTTGTTGAAACGACTGTTGGTGGGACCTTTTAGCCGGCTGTCACAGCTTCACTGAGGTGTTTAACAGCTCAGACGTGGTTTTAATATTAATGCTAGAGATTCAGTTACAATAAAATGTATTCATAACAGTATTTTTAACGGTTTCTGGGCTGAAGCATCCTTTCAACACGCTGCAGGGTTTCTCTTCTTTTTTGAAAGTCCCCAAAACACTATTAAGCTGTCATTTTACCTCTCTGTGCATCTTTATCAACACTGTGTTATGTTCTTTTAATGCTTCAGTAATAAATCCCTGTTGGGGCAGCTGAGAGTTCAGTGGAGATGAAACTCGAGATGCTGGTTTTTGGTAATCCAGACTACGCAGCAACGTATGAATGACTAACATCATCTGAGACGTTAAAATTACAAGAAATGTTTCAGTTCATAAAGAAGAAACTCTGAGTGTAATCGTAATGATGGTTTTATACCTCTGAGGAGCCAGGAAGTGACAGCTAACAAAACAAAACACATTTCTGATGAAAGAGGAACCAGAACAACGTTTTACAGCAAAACCTTTCAAAATAAAATGCACAAAAGACAAACAAAGACCTGTAAAAATCACGGTTTATTCACATATTATAGTTAGATTAATTCATTCCATTAGTAATGCATGTAAACATTATTACATTAATAAAGATCCCATGTATGTAGGAGTTAGAGCCATAGCTGATAGGTAGATGTTGTCCCTGGTTAAGCTTTTAAGGTACAACACGCTAATACAAACCAGGAGCGTCTAAGAAACAGAAACGTGCGCTTTAAGGTGCTTATTGTAAAAACTCTGCGTTTAAAATGAACTGAAGCTGTTAGTAGAATTTAACGAAGTAGCCGCTGTGTCTCTATGTCAGCATAGTGTCTCAAACAGATATTATCTCGAGGTAAAAGCATGGCTGGGCTGTCCTGGCTGACTTTGACATCTAATACTTTTATTTCTGGTGTTTTATTGTGAAGCACTTTGAGATTTTTATCTGTGAAACGTTTGAGATGAGTCAGTTTTACTTACGGATGTACTGTAATATCAGTTTTTGTGAAAGAATAGTGTGGTGAGTTAGTTGAACCTTTACTTAAAGGCAGCTCTTTAACAGTAAACTGTCATTTACAATGGCGGCTTAGCAAAGGGAAAAACTTGGGGGAGAGGGTGGAGCCCCCTGGTGGTGAACATTTCAGTTAAATTTTGCAGCGTTTTTGTTTGTTTTTGTAGTTCGTTCCCTTGATAGTTACCACTTTGATGTCTTTTGTTACGTTGATGTGTTTCTAAAAGTTGAGTGATGAGGAAACTGATAAATATTTGCAGCCTTTTATCACTGATAAACCTTTACTAAATATTTCTGGTTATTTCCGGACAGACTGGATCTCCACAGCTGCATCTCCACCTCTCCATTCCAGCCAGATGCTGATAAAGTCATCTGCACATCAGCATGGCGCTCAACAGGCCTATGAGGACGGTGACAGGCACCAGGAGGAGGGCCACGTACAAGAACCACGGCTCTGGGTACACGCCTGAAATCAAAACGCACAAAACCCTTTGTGTGAAGTTTGATCCCAGTATCAATAACACACGAGTGCAGTGTTGGAGTCCTTTTTCCAGTAAGAGCAAATTTCTAGAAGCTTAAATGACAAACTCACCATGACGCGCTGATGAACATGTAGTGGACTCCTTTTTATCACCTTCTCCAACTTCTGAAACCAAAGAGAAAAAAACCTTTCACGATTAAACAGGTTTCCTCTTCAAAGATACACATTGTACATGAAATCGGTTTAAACCCCTCAGAGTGAACGTCAACATAGGGAGAAAGAAAGAAAGACCTTTCATGGACTTTATGTCCAAAAAAATCTGTACTGTGTTGAAGAGACAGCGCCTGAAGTTGTTAGAGAGCCAGGCTGTACTTTTGTGTAATATCGACGTTGTACCACAAGATGGCGAAGTGAGTCAGTCAGGCTAGTCGTTTAGGTAAGCATGCTAAAACATACCTGTAGTTACTTCTTTCCTGACTATATGAGAAAAAATGTCAAATTTATAAGAAAAGCTACACCAAAATAAAATAAAAGCAGACGACCTGCTGTGCCGTCTGAAAAAGCACAACAACCACATCATTAAGGAATTATTAGCTCATGTTCATTCAACGAAGTCATCTTAACTACAGCAATATAACATGATATATCAATAAATTCACAATTTAAATTAAAGTAAGAAATACCAAAAACTTTAATAAACTGCAGAAAGTATAAAGTCCAGATTTCAGACACACAGCTGCTGTGCCCCTAAAAAAACATTTTAGCTCATCTTTTAAAGAAGTGGAAGCGAACAGAGTCGTGCAAGAAAATCTCACACAGAAATTCAGGATTTTTCTTATTTCCTGTTAAAAAAAAATTTCTGTAAAGCTTAATTTGTACTGTTCAAAATCTGCAGCGTCATTGATTCCTCTCAGGAGGAAGATGATTAATCTGATGATTGACTCAATCAGAGGTCACTAAAATCAATA